TTAGTTCGGCCTTTTTTTCATTGGCATCTGCCATGGCCTGCCTTGTAATTTTTCGAAGTTCCAGCACGCGTTTGTGGGCAATATGGTTCTTTTGTAAGGCCTACGAGGGGAGGGAGACAGTATTGAGTAGGAACCGAGCTAAAAGATGTTGAAATTTGGAGAAAGAAAAAGAGAACATACCAACACCATTGACTTTGAAGCCGAGCGAATGGCCTTCAGCTCGGTAAGGTGATCATGATGATCCATGTCGGCTAGAAGGCAGACGCTCTTGGCCAGATTGAAGGCTAGCAAATGATCTTTTCCCGCAACCACTGAATCGGAGTCAGTGATAGTGCGGTTCCTGAAGGTGACCTTTGGCACCCACTTGGAGGAACTAGCTCGGTCTGAGCGTTTCGATTGTGGGTTTGGTGGAGTGGATTGTGAGAGAATAGTGTCTTCTTCATCAATAAGGCGTGGCTCGGTTGTGGAAATTCGAGCACGCTTGCTTGCCCGAGATGTTGAAGGCTGATGGGTTGGCAGGGCTACCACGGTCTCTTGAGGTTGGCTGGCTAGTGGTACCTCGGCCTGGTTTGTTTTGGTCAAAAGGGTCCTTACTGCTCTTTTCTTGGCCATCTCTTGCTCCGCAATCAATGGGATCAAGTTGATTTGTGGAAGGGAAGGATCAGGTGCTGGGAATGGCTCAAGGAGGAAATCGGTCACCCTGGTCTTCCTACGGCTACTATATTTGTATGTCGATTCAAAATTCAGTAGCTCGGCCCAGCTTCGGTTGGGATATCGCAGAGCGGCGCGAAGTGCATTCAAGTTGGGGTAACTGTACTAAGACTTGAGAAAGTTCAAATCTGCATGAAGGAAGGAAACAACAGTTAGTACGGTTAAAAGTAAGTACCGAAGTAAGAGAAAGAACATGAAAGTGGGCCGAGGTAGTTATACCGGCGACTCCTTTATTCCAATTTATTCGGTCGCCAAGGATCTGGGCTTCGTGGTCTTCGAAGTTCCCAAAAACCCAAAAAAAATCATCATCGTTTACGTCCTTATCTGGGGTATTCTTTATTATCTTTTCATGCCAGCGCCTTATTCTTAAATAGTAAACCTAGCCATCTTCAGCCGATCCTATGGAATATTGGTAGAAGAGCTCGGCTAAACCGAGGTTAAGGCCAACCCGACGGTTTAGCTTGGCAATGTCATTTATTATGAGGTATGAATTTGTGAAAAGTTGGTAGGGCAGAGGTTGGTTTGTCTGAGGAACTCACAAAGAAGGGGCTGTACAGGGAATCTTAGTCCAGTTTCTACAATGGAAAGAAGGGTAAAAGGAACAAAGCCAGGGTTTTCCCAAGGTATGGTATCTAGTTCGGCTAAGGTAAGATGGACATCATCAAGGATATGGTAGTCCCTTCAGAACTCAACCATGGCCCCTGGTGTGTTTACTAAAAACCTATATTTACCCATTTGCTAATAAATTATGTATAAATTAGCCTAAGTGTTAGCTCGGTTCTAAAAAGATGTTGGATATCTCGGTCGGACGTTCAAAGGAGTGCCTGGGCAACCTAGTCGGAGTCTGCAAAGTGAAAAAAGAAAGGTGTTAAGCACAGATCGTTGGACCGTGCTAAAAGAAACAAAGGCAAGATAAATAAAGTCCTAGCTCGACTACATGGGCCACTATCCAATCCTAGCTCGATTTGAGCAAGGGTCGTTAGCCCGGCTGAACTTTTGGGGCAGCATTCTTAGTTCGGTTTTAACTAAGGGAGTTGGTTTAGCTCCAAGTTTTTAGCTTGGTTGGTGGTTAGGCCTTTCTAGCGCGGTATTACGCAAGCTTAATGCAGTTCGCTAGCCCGGCTAAAACTACGAGTATGGTATGAAGTTTTAGTTCGGTTGTTTAGTTCGGCCAAGGTCGTACCTAATACAAACAGTATCCTAGTTCGGTTGGAGTGTGATTTTGGATCAAAACTACCATTTCCCAGGTTATTCATATAGACAGTGGTTATGTTACAGGGGTTTTTCCCAGAAAAATGGAAACAAAAATGCTATATGTGTTGTGAAAAGCATACGAGTAAGAAGATAATATATTTCAGAAACTAGACAAACAAAAAGGGAATGAGAATGAGGTACTTGCAGTTTGAAGGAAGGATGCAGATCTGAAACCACGAAAATGGTGTTGAAAATGCAAGCTTCACAGGTGCAAAGGTCGCAGAAATGGAGACTCAAGCAAGAGAGAGAGAGAGAAGATGAATAGTGCAGGTGAAATGGTTTGAAGCATAAGGGTTTGTTTTATGAAAAGCAAAGCAAAATGGCGGGGCTGTTCAAATTTTGCGAAGTACGAAGACGACGTGACAGCTACGCCAGGCGATGATAGCTCGCCACGTGTCCTTAGAATGGGAAGTGATTCAGTTTTAGTACGACTGAAGAGACGTTTTGTAACCGTACCAATCGGTAGCCCGGCGACATACTAGCTCGGTTGAAAGCCTAAAGTTTTTTAGCTCAGCTAGAAAAAGATAATCCCTATCATGCTACGCAGATAGAATTAATGGGCAATTGAGAGGGTAATTTATATGTAAATTGGGCCGAGCTGGGTGATGGGCTGTTCTATGGGCCACAGTAAAAAGGGTTGAGTAAAAGAGCTTTGTAGTTAGCCCGGTCCAGAAAGAGCTTTGTAGTTAGCCCGGTCCAAAAGAGCCATATAGTTAGCTCGGTCCAAGTGAGCCTTGTATTTAGCTCGGTCACCGCTATTAGAGTGGTGGCAGTTAGCTCGGCCATACCCTTCTGAGCCGAAGTATTTTGAGCTTTTCTTAGGACCTTGCTACGGTTTAGCTCGATCAAATCTTGTTATGGTTAGCACGGTCTCAACAGGAGAAGCCGATGTACATACAATAAATGGGAGAACCGAGCTAGGTAAAACTCAGACATTTCAGCCAGTATAGCATGGTTGTGATAGCTCGGTCGTTTTGTCATACCACCGAGGTATAACCATCTCACTTGGTTTAACCAGTGAGGGGGGTGTTGAAGGATAAGCATTATCTTTCAGGAGTATGATTCCTGAGAGGACTCTGCATGGAGGAATAAGAGTTCTACTAGGATTGTGCCACGCGGAACCTATAAAAACTCATAACATCACCTATGGAGAGGTAGCACAACTTTGATTCCCGAATATACAGAGCTTTTGTCTATTTGTCTATTTTGCTGACTTAGGCATCGGAGAGGTATCCGGCACACACCCGCCGGCTAGCTCACGTTTTTGTTTTCAGGGAGTAAAGCGACGACGTTTGGAAGAGCGCAGACTTAGTCAACAGGATTATACAAAAAGAATATTTCTTGCTCGTACATTACTCGTACTAAAAAGTCATTAAAAAAATCAAATAAATTTATTTTTATTCAATGAACAACTTATTTTTTATTTAATTCTCATTCTACTGAAAGAAGTAGAAGTAAAAAAAAATACTTTCATCCATCCTCACACTGTTCGAAATGGGTTGATTTGATAAGAAATGTTGAGAAATGAACTATTTTTCTATGTTTGGATTATAAATTGACTAATGGCTCATTTCGTAACTCAATTTTTTAGTTTAAAAATAAAATAGTCAAAAATTTATTTTTCTCTCTACTTTTTAAATTTTTTTCATAAAAATTTAAAAAATTATCCTAAACATACTAATTTTTAAGGTAAATTACAAATACACCCCCTAAAATTTGCTTAAAGTACAAATTGCCTCATGTGGTTTAGAAAATTACAAATACCTCCTTGTTAGTATTTTTTATTTAACAGAATTAACTAAAAAAATTAAGTTCATAATTGCTTTCCTATACAATAATAAAATTACCTAAATTATTAATTGAAACATATTTATAACATCATTAAAAATTGTTAATTGGCTTGATAATTTATTAATAAAAAATGCGATTTGGTATGAAATTAGAACTCTTAGGGGGTGGAATGTAATTTCCAAAACTACAGGGGCGATTCGTACTTTAATCAAACCTCTGGGGATGTATTTGTGATTTATCCTAATTTTTTTACCTCATATTATAGTAAAAAAATTCAAAAAAATTACTAAAAAAAATGTTCCCAAACAAGTTATAAGAAATGATGAAAATTTGTGAGAAAGACAAAGCCCTTGTTTGGCATGGGGCTAATTAGTCACAAAAATACAAAATATGCTAAAAAATCCAAAAATGTCATATCTAAATCATGATTATTTTATTTTCTCTTCTACAATAGTAAAAAAAGCGAAAAATTCAAATACAAACGAGATTTTTTAGCCTCAAGTTAAAATAGTCAAAAAAACTTAAAAGCCAAATACCAATTCACTTTCCAAACGAAGCCAAAGGTAGCGTTTTTAATTTTGAAATTACAATTCTAATAAAAAAAAATAAAAAACTCATAACCAAGTACTCAATTCAAAACTCTTTTCAAATTCAAAACTCTTTTTAAAACCCAAAACTCAAAACTATTTTCAAAACTCTATTTTTAAAAAAAATATCAATTTTTGTTTTATTTTATTTTATTCTTTCAAAATTATTTTTTATTTTTTTGAAAAATAATATTTTCAGAAAATATTTTTTTGATTTTTATTTTTGAAGAAAGATATTTTTTAATATTTTAATTTTTTTCAAAAAAACTATTTTGTTATTTTTTTAAGTATTGACCAAATAATTTGTTATGACTTAGATATATATGGGTGATCCAAAATTTTATAAAAATTTTTAAAAAATACAACGCGCATTAAAAAAATATATTTATAAAAAATATATATATCCTTAAAAAAATTAATACATTTTTAAATATGTAAAAAAAAAAACCCAAAATAATTTCAAAATACAGCTCAAAACCATATATATATCTATATAATAAGACACAACGGTTTTTGAAAATATATAAAATGTATCAGAGATACATTTCATTTAAATGGCTGAGATAATTCCTAATCAATATCCAACGGTTGTGATGAATTTTTTTCCCGCCCAAACACTTTCAGCTCTCTCTCTCTCTCTCACAGCTGGCTAAACACGTCTCTGCCTTACCCTTCCCACATATCCACATCTCCTCCCCACCTTCTCTCTTTATCTTTCTCTCCTCTCTGTTCTCACGTCTCCACCCTATTCCCTATTTATCTCTCTTCCTCTCTGTTCTTCTTCTTGAACAGAACCACCAAAATCACCTATCTCCCCATTTCCTCTTTATCTCTCTCCCTCTCTCTCGATCACCACCATCGCGGGCATCGACCACCTCTATTCCTGTCCTCCTCCCTCTCTCTGTTGTATTTTTTTTCCCCGAAATACATCTTCAATCTAGCTCCATTGTTCATCATTGTTATCTTTGTTGAAGTCGATTTGCCGCTGCTCATCATCACCACTCGCAAGGTTCCCTTTCTCCCACCCTCGATTGTTCCCTTCGCAAGGTAATTTTGGTCTCTCTCTGTTGTATTTCACATTCGGAGGAAATAGGTTCTGCTTTCGCTGCTGTTCAAATTTTGACAATTTTCTTCAGATCTAACTACAATTTGTATCCTGAACCACTTGATTCAACAGATAGAAATCACGATCTGCTCCAAAATTGAATTTTGAAATCGTGATTTCCCTTCAAATTGAAATTCTGTTTGAACACAATTTGAATTATGAAATGAAATCGTCATTCTGAAATCGTGATTTCCCTTCAAATTGAATTTCCCTGCAAATTGAATTCTGTTTGAACAATTCTGTTGGATTTGAATTTAACCTATCGATTTCAGGTGAGTATATTTTACTTGGATCAGTAGATTTGTTGATGTATGTTTTTGAATTGACTGAATTGTTCATGGGTGCTTCAGATCTAACAACAATTCTTATGCCGAACCACTCGATTCAACAGGTCGAAATCACGATCCGCTCAAAAAATTGTTCATTTTTCCCTGGATTTGGTACTTTAAGTATGTTTGTCTTTGTCTTCAATTGCATTATCTCCTACATTTATTTTCTCTGTAATGCTTTTTAATTTTTTATCTGCATTGGAAGGCTTCAATCGAAGTCAATTAAATTCTATTTGATGTGGATTTGAATTTCATTTGAAAGGAAATCACATTCTTGTGTGGTTGCTTTGAATTTAACCTATCAATTACGGGTGAGCATATTTTACTTGGATCAGTAGATTTGTTGATGTATATTTTTGAATTGACTGAGTTGTTTGTGTGTGCTGTGATTGTAGCATTTGTTTGATAGATCTTGAAAAATTGGCTCCCCAACGCCAGCAGCGCCACATGGATGGCCAGATGCAACAGAACAATGCTGCTGCGACAATTGCTCCGTATGATCACCCTGGCGGAGGGTCCCTGCGCAATGAGGGTCCCGGAAGCGATGCTGGAGATGCAGTCTTGGCACGCTGGCTCCAGTTCGTCGGGTTTGCAGCATTTGGCCTCACCTTTGGCATCTACCAAAATTGATCATCGCCTCTTACCTAACCTTCTCATGTACGTACCTTTACATTTCAAATTCATTGCTATGCCTGTTTGGTTATTCATTTTGTCGTTTTAATGGGAATGCAACAGTAACTTTTGTTGAAATATGAATTTTATGACTGCTTTTAGTTATATACTCTATGATTGACGCTCCATAGTCCCATTTATGTTGATAAAGTAGTGCATGTTTCACTATATTTACGCTTCATAATGCATATTGAAACACAATGCAAGACTAATCTTTATTTATTTCTTATTATTTTTTTAATTTAAATTTTGATCCTACTACGTATCTTTGTTAAAGTTTTTCTCAAATTCATTATGGTCGATTAAAATGGAAAATATAGCTATCAGTTTCATAATCCATATTGAAACACAATGCAAGACTAATCTCTATTTATTTCTTATTATTTTTTTAATTTAAATTTTGATCCTACTATGTATCTCTATTAAAGCTTTTCTCAGATTCATTATGGTCGATTAAAATGGAAAATATAGCTATCAATTTCATAATGCATATTGAAACACAATGCAAGACTAATCTGTATTTATTTCTTATTATTTTTTTAAATTTAAATTTTGATTCGACTACGTATCTCTGTTAAAGTTTTTCTTAGATTCATTATGGTTGATTAAAATGGAAAATATAGCTATCAGTTTCATAATGCATATTGAAACACAATGCAAGACTAATCTTTATTTATTTCTTATCATTTTTTTAATTTAAATTTTGATCGTACTACGTATCTCTGTTAAGTTTTCTTCAGATTCATTATGGTCAATTAAAATGGAAAATATAAATGTTAGTTTCCTTTCATTTGATTTGTAAATGTCGTCCAGGGAGCGACGGTGGAGATGCAGTCATGGCACGCTGGCTCCAGTCCGCCGGGTTGCAGCATCTGGCCTCACCCTTAGCATCTACCCGAGTTGAACATCGCCTCCTATCTAACCTTCTCATGCAGGTACCTCTACATTTCAAATTCATTGATATGCATGTTTGGTTACTTCATTTTGTCTTTTTTTATGGGAATGTAACAGTAACTTTTGTCAAAATATATATTATATGACTACTTTTAGTTGTGTACTCTATGATTGATGCTCCGTAGTCCCATTTATGTTGATAAAGTAATGCATGTTTCACTATATTTACGTTTCATAATGCATATTGAAACACAATGCAAGACTAATCTATGGAAAATATAAATGTTAGTTTCCTTTCATTTGATTTGTAAATGTCGTCCAGGGTTTCTTTTGACTATATGCCATCATTTGACTTTCTCCCTCCCTCTTTTGTTAGTTGTTCATATCTCTTTATTTCCTTTAACATTATATCCATAAGTCAGTGGAGTTTTGTTAGTTTTCTTTATAGATTTCTTTATTTTTGCTGTTGTTGTTGTTGAAATATATATAAAATTAAGATGAATCTTCCTTTCGAATTGTGCAAACCCTTCAGCTCCTCATCTGTGTTGGACACACCCGTCTTTTATTGTTGTAATTTTCTTTTTTTCTTTTTTCTTTTTTTTTTGGGGTAGTTGTTATCTAGGGAATTAGTTTTAAGTATGAAAGATCTTTTCTCCTAAAATTAATGCACAATTTTTTGTTGAGCTGGAGTGTTGCAAAGAAATTATCAAGTCATGTAAGGCTGATATTTTTATTCTTAATGCTTTGTGCATGCGACAGAGGCATCGGAATTTGGTGAGGAGAATAGTTGTAAAGGCTCCATCAATAGAGGTAATCAAGATTTTATCCCTTTTTTTGCTTCTATTTTTTATTTTTTGTACATTTATGTTGCAAGTTGATGATTTAATCTTTTACTCCATTTCCATAGTTCAAAGACCAACTTCTTCATGTCACTTGGAATAATTGAAGTTTTGCAATAATTAAAATTCAAAATAATTGGTTTTACCACTATATAATTTCTATTACTACAATGTTCACCAAATGCTTGATAAATTTTTTCTCTATTCGATGTGTTTGATGTGTTTATTAATTCACAGGGAATGGAAGGTGAGGGAAGATTAATCGAATGATCAACCTTTTGGTTGAGGAAAAAGTTCTCCTTTGCTAAACTTTTGATTGGGGTGAGGAAAAGGTTCCCCTTTGCTTGACTGGGTTAAGTTTATGAACTTATCTATTTTTTGGATGATGTTCTCTTTGCTAATTATTTTTATTATTATTTCTTGTTTTTGGGAAAAAGTAAAAAAATTAGCAGTTTTTTTGCTTTTTTTGTTTGCATTACTTCTAAATAGTTTGAATGCTCTCAATTGGATCTTAGTTGTGAGTCTATGAAATATTTCTTTTGAGATTGTGGTTTGAAGATTTTTGAAATGGATGCTCCTTGCATGGTGCTACCAAAGATATCCATAAAGGTTATCAAAAGAGCATTTTTCTTGGTCAGTAAATCTCTCTTTTTTTTTGCCCTCTATATGGACGTGTCTTTGAAACATTTTTTTGATATATAGTAGTTTCCTGGGCGAACCCCACGTGTCTGGTTGCATAAAATATTTGCTACATAGATTAAAAAATAGAGAGGGTGTGTGGGTGTGGGATGGGGGGGAGTAGAGATAGAGGGAGGCAAAAGTGCATATAAATGAATAAAATGGTGTGAGACAAATTGCTTCTTGAAAAGTTATCTACCTAAGTGCTGAATTCCATGTCTCTAAAAGACTGACATGCTTAAGTTTAGAAATTAAATATATTTGCTGAATGTGCTTGATGATGGAGGGAGTCATTTATAAACATTAGTGTTTGATAATGTGTTTAAGAGCTAAAATCTAATAATGTGTTTAGAACTTTCAATTAGTGCTTGATGATTTTTGCTTTTGCAACTATTATAGATAGTGCTTGATCTTTTAAGATTGGTGTAATCCATAGACATTTATGCTTGATTGGAGGGTTAGTTGATTGCCCAAAGAGGGGTGGTTTTGTTGATTAAGGTTTAGTTTCTATTTTTTTTACTTTCTCTTTTTCTTTTCTCTATAATTGGTTTATTAACTAAGCTTTACCAAGAGAGAAGTGTAATATGAAGAGTCTGACACTTAAGCTTAGGAAAGTGGAATGAGTGTTCTAACTAATTAATACTACAATATCACTGAGACTTGAGTGTAATATGTTCATGAGTTTGCTAATCATACATTTTATTTAACTAATTGATACATTTTTCTTGCAACATTTTGGGCTTTGATATACTTTAATTTTGCACAATGGGGGTAAGTAGCAGTGCACGATTTTTCTTTCCATGCCTTTTTTTTTTAAAAAAAAAAAACATTATAGGAGAGATGGTTTGTTAATATTGCAATCACTGAGATTATATTCTTTTTTGAATTTTAGCCGAAGTTTAAATGAGACCAACCTCCTTAATTAGAACGAGAAAGATTGTGTCACGCCCTCAAAATAATAGCATTAACCCATCAATATAGACATGCATTGATATATAAAAGCTCCACTTTCTTCTATTCATCAGAGTTTCATTACCAAAAGTATTACATGTTAACAACAAAAGCAAATGCCCTAAAGGCTTATAGCTTTCCAAGTTAATACTTGGTTACAAAAAAAGAGTGCCAACTCATTCACACATTAAGCCCTTGGCTTGAATATACATGTAATACATCAAAGAAATAAAATAACAAAAGTCCGCCTGCCTCTAGCTTCCTAAGCTACGTCCTTGGAGGTGGCATGCTACCTGTACCTGAAAATGATGTTCCCATATAGGGTGAGCCACAGCCCAGCAGAGATACACTAAACCAAATATGAACAATGACTAAAAGATTAGCAGTTGATAGATGGCTAACACTGATACTTTCCCTTATCACATTTTACGGTTTCATGACATACAAGTCCATGTTACAATCCATTTTCCAATTCCTTTCAAATTCTCAGTTTATAACCCTGGCTCAGAACCTGGCCAAACAACCCGTGTTTGTGGTTGCTTTTAGTGAGGGGAGTTTGGTTCATCTTGACTTGGGTTGGTTTATGATCTTGCTTTTGTTGTTTGAGAGTTTTTTTTCATGATTCTAAGTTTTATCTATTCATGTTTTCCATCTCATGTTTCAAGATAATCGTGTCATATGTCTATTGCTTTTTCATATACTCTTGTGGGACTAATAGTTGTTTTGGAGATTGTGGCACTAATAACTGTTTTGCAGATCATGACCTTGAGAAAGAAGTTGGCTTTTGTTGGCTGTAATGGTGGGGTGATTAGGATTTTATTTGTTAGGTGTGTTTTGTCAGGACATTGCCAAAGGGGGAGATTGTTAGGTTTTATTCTTGGCAACCCCGTTTGACAAAACTCTTTTCAGTTGTATTTGTTTTCGCATTTTTATTTCAGTGAGGCTATAAGTGTTTAGATCGAATCCAACCCGAATCGTGCCTTTGTCAATTTCATGGATCAAAACCGAGGTTGTAATAGGATCAAGTTTTCAGATTTTCAATTTTGGTCGTCCCGCTCGAGCGGGACAAGGGACGCTCGGGGCGGATTGCAAGCTCACAGCATCTCTGCTGTCCTAAAAAAGTATTGGATGGTGTGATTCTCCGCTCGAGCCTGGAAACTTCCGCTCGAGCGTGAAGCCTATATGAATCACACAATTTTGAAGCCTCCGCTCGAGCGAGAATTACCACGCTCGAGCGGACCGCGCGAACACAGATTCTTGGATTTCTATAAGGAATTGGTTTTCTTCCAAAACTAGGATTACTTTGGATTTCTATAAGTAGTTGGTTTTTCTCCCAAAACTTGGCAAAGTCCTCCAGATCTTCTTTTTGGATTTAAGGTTTATATCTGGATTTTTTGCTAGTTTTCTTTGATGTTTTCATTGAGTATTCAACTCATGGTTTAAGAAGCATACATCAAAGGTTTGTTTGTTTATTACACAAAAGAGAAAGTTGTTCTTCGGTGGATTCTGAAGAATTCGAGCCTGAAGCTTTGGTGGATTCCGGAGTGGCTCATTGTCAAGACAATTCCGAGATGAAGACAGGTTTGGAAGAGACACATAGAGGTTGTTCAATTCGGGCGTGGATTCGCTAGGTAATTAGAGAGTATACCTTGTAATCTTTTATATCTTCTTAGTGGATTGTTTGTGCTGTTGCCTGGTTTTTTTTATCACAATTGGAGGTGTCCAATTGTGGTTTTTCACGTAAAATCGTTGTGTCGATTTGTCTTGATTTTTGATTGGGATTGTTATATACTGCTTAAAATTGATACATAATCACAAATCAACATCTAAGGGATTTCTAGATTTTTCAGAAGTTTCATTCCTTCCTTCCTAATGTCCAAAAAGCAATATATCCTAATATACTTATTTCTATAATTTCCCATATTTTGTGACTCGGTCTGAGAGAGGGGAGATGAGAGAGAGAGAATGTATATGGTTGCAAAAACTGGTGTGTTTTTAAAAGGTGTTTGGTAATAGCTTATTTCATAAGTTGAATAATTTACAATATGAATTTTTCATAATTTGAATTATTTACATATGGAGGGAGGAGTGATCCGCGGAGTCTATCCTAATTTCCATAATTTGAATAATTTGAATTATTTAAAATATGAATAATTGAATATTTTGAATAATTTGAATAATTTCCATAATTTGAATTTTCATAGGGCACCCAGATCATGTGCTAGACAATTAGACAGCTATTAGAGTATCTCTAACTTACTCAAAAAAAAAAATAATATTAAATTGAATAAAAAATTAATGAAAAGTTTCATTGATACTATGTGTTCCAATGCTAATTTTTTAATTTTATCAAACAACTGGTTGACCAAAGGTCGTCCGACTTATGTAAATTTTCATCAAACAATCAGTTGATCGGGAGGACAATTGGCCGGTCATCCTGTGTACGGTGAAGTCTCTGCAAAAGTAACGACTATCTGTAAAATTTGATGAACGATGAAGCCTCTCTCAATTTGATGAAATTTTTTATTTTCCTTTCATTTGATATGGGTTTGATGCCATGGTGGGCAACAAAGTGTGCGTATTTTAACAAATTTAAATTTGATGGAAAATCTAAGTAAAGTTTGAGACGCTCTTATCGGGTAGAAAAAATAAATATATGCATTTATACTTAGGGCTTTTAAGAATGGTTTTTTAGTAATTTTGTTAAATTATGAGGTGAAAAAATAAGTGTTTAGAATATATTTTTGAGTTTTTAAAAAAAGTACAAAAAGAAAGAAATGATCTTTAACTTTTTAACATGATTTTTAAAACTTTTTAATGATTTTTTTATTTTTGATTTATTTATTTTATCAGTCTCCCAAAACCTCTTAAGCTTAATTAATATCTTGATGGGTAAACGAAACAAATATCACATGTTTCTTTTTTGCTCTTTAAATTTTATTAATTTATAAATTATTCATGTCACAAAAATCATCATAAAATCAAATAAATCCAATAGGATAGAGAAGAGAAAAGAGTAACAAGTAATGTAGATTCGTGTAAAACTATCATGATGATTTACATCATTATATAATGCTACTTTTTCTTTTCTCTTTTCTTTTTAAAGAAGTGCTGAAATTTTCCAATCCTGACATAATAGTTTGGTAGAAAACCATAATCATAGGGTAATTATTTAGTAATTTTAAAACATTATTATATTATTTATGTGATATTCTAAATTAAATCATGTAGTAAATATGTATGACTGAAATATAGAGATTTATACCTTTATTAGATAATTAAAGAAAATAGTGATGACTGTGTGTTGTGTTTCTCATTCAGTACATAAAATAGATCAATCATAATATTATACTTCAAGATACTGAAAGGAGAGTATTATATTAAACATTCAGAGTTCTTACAAAAAGTATACATTTTGACATCAAAAGTAAATTCCCTATGGGCTTAAAACTTTCAAACCAACACTTGGTTACAACAAGAGAGTACTAACTTATAACAAAAATAGCCCTCGGCTTGATATCCATATAAATACAACTAAAAAACACAAAACAGTCCAACAGTCCTCCAAGCCTCCCAAGCTACTCCTTGAGCGTGCATGCTACTTGTACTTGAAAATGATTAGAAGTGAGCTAATGCTAGTAGATATGCTACAACATAATCAGAGCAATAACCTAAAACATTAACACTTATAAATGTTTAGCTTACAAATCAAACACTTTTAACATGGCTCCATAACCTGGCCAAAGGAACGAAATAAGGTATATCTTTACCAACAATACTACAAACTGTCATTTTACGGAATTGGCGTCCGCGGGATTCGGCACCTATTATTTTTTCATTCTCTTTGCCATTTAGGATATTTTCATTCTGCGGCTCGGCACCACGTCTAGATATATTCGGATTGCGCATTTTAC